ATCACCAAATTACATAAATTTAAATAACGCAAATAGGTTTTTGTTTAATAAATGTTACTTATTATTATGCGTAAACAACAATTTTTAAAGTCTTTTAATGATATTATAGGACGTAAAGTCGTATTTTTTAAAGGCTTTTAGTAATTTAAATCCATGTGTCGTACAAGTAAGAAAAAAAACGAATAGTGTATACATTTACCAGAGTAATGTAAACTTTATCCATATTAACGAGGTAAATATATATAGTATACATTATATCGAGCTAATTTATGCACTAGCCAATGTACTGTTGATAAAATATTAAATCTTATTTATACGGTCATTTAGATACTCTGTCAAACGTAATATTACCTAGATACTATAACCGTAAATAGTTATGTCGGTATAAAGGTCAGCAATTTGAAATCGTCTAACACTTCAAATGGTTTAATAATACATACATCAGTTATTCTAGAAACAAAAACCAAAGCATCATTCATTTTTTTTTTTTTTAATGAATCAGTAAAAATATTATTTATTAGATAGTTTTTAAAATATTATTTGTTATTCTACCGTAGATTATTATTCATGAGTATGTACTCCATTCATTCGGTCATTGATAATGTACAAGGTACCCGGATAATTTACCAAATAAATGTTTTATGAATAATATTTTTACTTTATTCAATCATAGGTATGGCTAATGTTTACCTAAACCTGTTCATGTGTATAATATTATACGTCTTTCGGACTTTAACCTGACCATATTATGTAACGGTAAGCTAGCAGAGTGTACACTCTGCAGCATATTAATATTTAATACTGATTTTAAAATGTTTATTATTATTATTTTTCTTTTATCTCAGATACCGACTTTTCTCCGGTGCTCCGGTCATCTTGGATAATGTGATTGAGACCGTGTAGCGAACACTGATCGCAAATGTCGTTCAAAATATTATTCCATGCATTAGCGCGACGTTTTATACTGGTCATGCGAGGCGATTTGTTCCGGAACCGGATTAAGTCGACTCTTTTAGACACAGACGACTTTTTGGCGTTCATCGTCACGACGACGAATATGAGTTTTAAGACTGTCGTCCGTTGATATTCCTACAAGCCGTGATATGTTTATATAACAAAGAAAACGAATATTTTCAAAATCATGATTATACATTATGCCCTTAAAACGATTTTTTATAAATATTATATCAAGTAAGTTATACTCACACCATATTTCATTGTCATATTTTCCCGTTCGAACTCCCGTCATGTACGTTTCAGTATATGCATATAATATTATATGTAAATATATATACCTATACGTTTTACAAGACGTGACAACCTAAGTTTATGGCGTACAATGCATAATATACTATTATTATTTTTATTGTGCACATACAACGCTATACTTTTTCGTTTCGTTTTCCGGTAAAAGAAATTCGGTCGTATAATAAAATAATAAATTTGTTGTATACATATTAATATATAATTTGGAGATATTGTGTTTCGATTTTCAAGTTTTGATTGATACATTTCACCGGGCACTTTTCGAACCAACATTTGAATAAATAATAAATGTTATAAAAACGCAAAATAATTTTATTTTACTGTCATGATATGATAATAATATATTTAAATATAATAATATTTTATTTAAAAGCAATTTATAATATCCCATCATTTCATATAATATTTTATAAGTTATGCCTATTTTTCTTTAGAGACCAATAACTCAAACTATTACGGCGTGTGTGCATTATTATTGACGGTTGAATAATAAAGCAATTTTTTTCTATAGAATTTTTGAACATACTTTTTTTTCTTTAGAATATGTTATCCAAAATATTGGAAAAATAGTGAAGTGGATTACTGATTTATGAGGAAAATGGGGCAAAGTTTTTTTTGTAATTTATTGTTGTTTGGTTGGTGGTTGTTGGAAGCTAATTGGAAGATATTAATATTGATACTAAAACTAAAATTTTGGAGGATATAATAATAATCGATCCAAGCTATTTTATCGAGGTAGTTCGCTTTGTACATTTAGAAATTAAGGAAATTAAATTTGTATTTATTTTCCAGTGAAATTTTGTTACAAGTGCGAAATTTTGATTTGTTTTGTTTTTCTAGTTAAAAATTAAATACTTAATTTTGATTTTATTTTAAATCAATGGAATTCCAAAGAATTATTTTTATTGTTAATTATATTTATTTTTTCCTATACGTATTTCTTATTTAATTATGGTGCGAAAAATCGTGAATAATTTACTTAAATTTCACATTTTTTCTAACGACTATAACAGATCAATTTTAAAAATAAAATATCATCAATTTAAATGTTCGAAAATGTTATTTGCAATGGTACAACGTTGTATAAAGGATAACAGTTTCCAATATGAGTAATTATTTTGAATTAAGGTTTTCTAAGGGAGTTTTTCCTTAGTCATAGTGTGACTAATCATAAAGATATATTCTGTACATTTTTATTAATTATTAAAATTTATTTTTTATTTTTTGACATTAAATTAATGAAATAGTTGTGCGTGTTAATTTTACTACAGTATTTTTTATAATAGTATTTAGTTTTACCTTAATTGACGCAAGTCATCATAATCGTTTCCATCATATTGTATTTTTTTTATCTAAATTTTATTAAAATTCCTAAGTTTCCACCAAAAACCAATGCATTATATAATAGTTTCTCGTTACAGTACTTTGGTGCTCTTAGAAATTGATGCATAAAATATAACAACGTTCCATATCTAAAAAAAAAGCGGTTTCACAATCAAATTTTCGGTAAACATGATTTTTATCACTGTTTTTCAATACACTCAAAAAAATTTATATTTTTTATGAATATGCATATTATAACCATTATTTATGTGAAATAATATGGAAGGATAAGAGCAATTAAAATTTCATGTAATGACTTTTTTCATCTAATTAATATTTTAATAATTTATTATTATATGTGTCACTTTGTCTTTGGACTGAAATAAGCAAACCGCAAAAAAAATTTCTATTAACACTCGTACTCTATATTTATAATATTTAAATATGTTTTATTTTGTGCAATGTTATTCATTTATAAGAAAAATAAAAACAGAACTGTATGACGGCGTAGTGTGCAGGCAATAGAGGTACATGTTTGTGTTGAATAATAATAATATATTTTTTTAAACGTTTTGGTTATGACCTATTCTTAATCTGCGAAAGCATCTTTTATTTTTATATTTTGTTATTTTATCTGTTGTTTTAATTTGGACTTGAGACTGATATCGATTATTTTCATTGATTATTCTTAATATTTTTTTGTACAAAGGCGCCTTTAGGTTTAGAACACTAAATATAGTCACAAATCCAATCCACTGACATTAAGTGAGTGGAACATTTTTGATCTTAAATTAATCATACAATTTTATTGAATAGCGTTAAAATCTAAAAAAAATAATAATTTGTACATTCATCTACTGCTTTTAAATTGATAATATGCAGAAGTTGAATGAAAAGCGTACAAGGTAGTATTATTTAAAAAGAAAAAAATTATAGGAAAATAACTTAAATTAATAAATTCCATTTCACTTGCACTATAATATTGAATTACAGAATATAATAAATGTATTATTCAAAAATGTTATTTTTAGATCATCTGAAAAAAAATCTAAATCCACATTTGATGGACTCCAAAGTAAGTACCTACGAACTCTCTTGTGTCCGTGAACTAATAATTAAAAAACCGAAATATAAACCATTCAATATCGTATACTATAAATTTAATATTTTATCAATTCACTATTTGACAAACAATACGTATTTTTAACAAACGAGTCAAACTTTAAGACCACAAAGCAACTAATACTGAGTTATTTAAAAATGAACACTTACGCACTACAAAATATTTTGTAAATTCGTTAAAACAATAATGATTTTGTGTTATTGGAACTGAAATTATTGCATTCTCTTGGTATTGGTTAAATTGGTTGAAAAATACGTTGAGAAAATTAGTTCTTTACAAAAGTAAATAACATTTTTTTTTCACAAATATTGTACATACCTATAAAAAGTAGGTAATGTGTACATCATATACTGTATATTGAGTATTTTCATTGAGCTAATGTCTTGTTTTCCTTTTTCCTCGAAGTGTTTTATGAACGACTAACTGTTATTATTTTAAAAATAAAATTTAAATAACATAAAGATTGCTTCTATTAAATAATTGGTTTGAATTCAATAAATTCAATAAACACCGTAGATATACGAAAAAACCATTTTGTGTGGAGGAGATGAACATTTTTATTAAAACCTTCTTTAAATAAAAATGTGACATCTAAATATTTCTTAATTGCTGTTAGAACAAATTAGTAGGATATTGTAACACATTTCAAATAGAATTTTAAATTGAAAATAGAATAGAGTTTTAAATAATTTGTAAATCTATAGAATTTGAATAATTAATAAATGAAAAAAAAGTACCTATATAACCCCTCTGTTGTAAAAATAACTCTAAGGTTCCAAGTCTACTTTGTTTTTAAGCAGGTCACTGTATTCACTGTAATATATATGTCGAATTTATATTCAATAATAAATCATTGTAATTGCTGAAAAATGGTTCAGAGTTAAAACTTTAAAACTTTTTAATGACCAAGGTTAACAATCAATTTATTATTTTAATAACAATATTAATATGAAAATGATTGTAATTTTTTATATTTATTTATATACTTGTATTTTATAGTTTATTAAAAAACATTGATAAACTTGTACATTAACCCGTCAAACTAAAAATTAGATCTAATTTTCTAACAGAAACCTCTTCAAAATTTTTATAATTGGATTATTTTTGTTACTAAAAAAAGTAAATACTTTTTTTTTTAATGTAGAACATCGCCCATTATAGTAAAATCAATACATTCATCGCTCCGCTTCAATATTAAACTAAATAATTTAGTAGCATTATTTTAAAATTTTAATAAAAGCTGATTGATCGTAGCGAGAAAATATTTTTCATTGGATTTTAAGTAATCTCTACTACCTTCAATAATATTACAGCATTGCTTATTGGTCACCTGTATATGGAAAATAAGACTAAATATAAGTCATATTGCAGAATGAAACGATCGCGAATTACAAAAATATTTTGTCTTTATTCTTCACGTTCAGGTATATAAGTATGCATGTATAGTAAAGTTTAACTGTCTATCAGTTTTTTTTTTTTAGCTTTTTAACTTAGATGATATTACGGTGGCGGCGTTTTAACGGTTCGCAGAAAATAATGATCGAAAAATTCTTTTAATAAAATCATCGCCATCGTCTTCCTTTTTTTGTATACTCTTTATGTAAAATCTAGGTTCTTTCCGTTAATCCATTAAAAATATAATAAGTGTGTGTATTTTTTATCTTTTAGTTGAATTTAAAAGGGAATGGGTTTTTTCTTCTTTTTTTTTTATTTTAATCGCATTGAATAATACAAAGTAATATTTTAGTATGTTTCTTAGATTATATTAAAAATCTTATTTCGTTCATGACGTGTTTATATAAAGACGCTCCAAGGTGTATTCCAAAAATATATATTATATCTACATTTGTTTAGATTTTCCCGAGCTTTATTCGGTAATTTATATCCATATATAGAGAACTTTCATTTGTCTGTCAAACTAGAAACATAGATTTATATACAATATTACAATAGATAAATTATATACACTATTTTACGCATTATAGAACGGTGAAATATTATAACATTAATATAATAATAACGGTTAACTTTGTAAATTACATTTTTCCGCTTGCTTACAATACAATATAATATCATTGTAAGTTATACTAATGACTACATTGAATCATATTGTAATGTAAACGTGATAAAATATTGATTTAAAACATATTTTGTTCTTCCTTCATTCCCTAGTTTATAGTATATATAATGCTGGTAGAAAAACTTTGGGTGAAAATTCACGCAAAATCAAGCATTCAAAATTCTATGGTAGAAGTGTAATTATAATGAAATTTAATTTTAATTTATAATAAAATTATAATATAATATATGTCAGTTATCGTCAGATGAC